TAGATAGCCTGGACCACCATGGGGGGCTGCCATAGGGCTGGACAGTAGCAAGGGGAGGCTATAGGGTTGGATGGCAGCAGAGGGATGCCGTGGGGCTGGATGTCTGCAGGGCAATGCCGTGGGGCTGGATGGCAGTCGGGGGATGCTGTGGGGCTGGAGGGCCATGGGGGTGATGCTGTGGGTCCAGGCTCAGTCCGAGTAGATGATGAAGCCAGAGAAGGTGCTGTACTTGTTGTTGTTGCCACCATGGGCTTTGCCCCCATCCAGCTTGATGAAGACCTCGTCCCCTGCGTCCAGGTGCAGGATGACGCTGTTGCTGGCGTAGTCGTAGTTCTGGTCGGCGTCCTGCGCGATGGCGCTGGCCCGCACCTGCGCAGGGGACACCAGCGTTACCCGGCTCAGCCCTCGCATCCTGGGGGACAGCCGGGGTCCCAGCTCATCCACAGCTGGGGAGACTGCTTGCCAGTTCTGGGGTAGCATGGGGTGCCCTGGATCCCCGCTGTGGGTGAACGGGTCCTGGATGGAGGTGGCTACTCCAAGCATCGCCCAGAGCCTCTCCCTGACCCGGCAGGCTCAGCCGTGGGACCACAGCTCGGATGTGGGACCATGGCTCTGGGTTCAGATGTGGGACCATGGCATGGACATGGAACCACGGCTCCACATTCAGACACGGGCCCACAGCTCAGATGCAGGACCCCATCTCCAGATTTGGGTGTGGGACCCCAGCTCCAACATGGGACCCTGACTCCATGTTCAGATGCAGAACCATGGGGCAGATACGGGAACCTCATCTCTGGATTTGGATGTAGGATCACAGCTCAGACACAGGACCCTGGCTCTGGATTCGGATGCAGGACCCTGCCTCAGGTGCAGGACCCCGCCTCCAGCCCAGCTCCGAACCAACCTGATGAACCTGCTGCATCCCCACACATCTTCCCACGAGCTGCATGGGGACCACGAGTGTGTGGCAAGGGCTGAGCCAGCTGAGCTGAAATCCCCCCAAAACCAAGCCTTGCTGCTCACCCGGATCCCAACCTGCTCAGAGGAGGGATGCTCCCCCCGACAAATATTTCCTCGATGCTGGAGAACAAGGCCAGGAGGTGCTGGCAGAGCTGGAGGTGCCGTAACTGCCTGGCAAAGAAGCTCCGTGGCTGGAGCCCGCTGCCACTGCAGAATTACATGGGTAATCAAATCTACACCGGCGCCTTGCAGGGAGATCGCGCGGCGCTGGGTGACAGTGACAAGCCGGCAGGTAAAATCCCAAGTGAAATGCAAAAGCGATGTACCGGGGAGAAGATGCTCCTAATTATAACCCACGAGAATGGGCTCTTAATTGGCTGGCGCCGGGCGGGGAGGCACTGCCGAGTGGCTGCGGGGTCCCAGAGCTGGGGGGGAAGGAGGGGTGTCCCTGTGGATTCCTGTCCTCTCCCCCTTGGGACAGGGGTCCCAGGCATCCTCTCCTCCTTGGGAAACACAGCAGCGTCTCCCTGAGGTCACGGGCAGCCTGAGATGGTGTAGCAACTTACCTCTGGAACCTACTGAGGGCCCAGCAGGTGGTCCCATGGGGCTTGCTCTCACCCATGCAGCCATGTCCCTCGTGCTGTCACCAAGACTGTCACCCCGTTAAAAGTCACCCCCTGTCTACCCTGGGTAGGGGGGACACGGTGAATCTCAGTCAGTCACAGCACTCCAATCTCCAGAGGACGCTGCCTCGACTGGGGTCGTGCTGAGGAAGAGGAGGGGGGGAAGAAGCAGGGGGAAGGAGAAGCAGAAGTCGTTTGGCGCCGGGCTCTGCCGCCATCATCCCCCGCCGCTGCAGCCAGAGCCACCCGGTGCCATCCGTCTTCCCTCGTTAAGGAGCCGCCTCGTCCCTGCGTGCCCG